ATTTATCTTAAAAGATTATAAAAATACAGACTGTTAAAATATATCATACAATAAAATTAAGCAATTTTCCATTAATTCAATTTTTTTTTTTATTTTTTATTATTTCTTCATTTTGTTAGTTCTACTCATACTTATATATATATATATATATATATATAATCATAAGATAAAATATCCATTAATGTTGTTGATAAGAGTTTACATATTTATCATATATTAAATATTTACGGGATAGTTTTTATTTAAGATATATCTTAATAAATGTTTACACTTGTTTTTTGTTTTTTAAAGTCTTAAGTATCGAATTAAAGTTATCTATACATTGACATAAGTAAGTAAATAATAAACATGTATTCAAATGATAATTAATTATAATTTGGTTTGATTAATTACTAAATAATACTCTTTAATTTTGCAGCAGGCTGTAGTGGTTGTTGCAGGATGAGGGGATTCTGATACTGTTTGTATATATTCTTGCCCCAACTTGTCACCTGTATGCCGCCAAAATCTAAGAAAATCAAAATTCTATATATATATATATGATTTATAATTTTCTTTTTGAAGTTCCACATGGAATTGCAACATTATATTTTTAGAAATTTGACAGTCGTAATTGGCCGACTCAAAGATTTGATTTATATCTTTTTTTTTTCTTCTTCTTTTTACTACTATTTCTTTGAATTTTTGCATAATATTTTTTGCAACTTAATTATTATTTTAGTGCTTTTTTTATTTTATATTTTTATAATGATTAGATATAGTAAAATGATAATTTAGTTTTTTTCATATCTTGAATGCGTGAACTAGAATTCTATACATATACTTTAATATTTGAAATAAAGCTATACATAAAATTATTAATATCGGAATATTACCAATAAATGATAATCGACTAAAGTCTAGTATTACACGTTTCTTTCAATTATTAAAATATTAAATGATGTGTTTGAATCAATTTTAACTAGGATATGTACCTCTTCTTATGTATGATTTTTTCAAGAATTTATTTTTTATTTTTATTTTAATTGAATTATTAAAAATTCATTGCTAATATTAAAATAAAGAACATTCATAGTACTTTATATATATAAATATTTGTATTCATATATTTGAATAAAAATAGAACTCAAACTCAAGTAATCAAATTTTTTTATATAAAGATATTCATATCTAACTCAAATACCCTTCTTATAAAGATTTAGATGTGTTCATAAATATAATAAGAGAAAAAGAAGGCATGGCTTTAGATTGGAAAGAGTCACATCTAACTATTACTTGGTATGCTTAAATACGTTTTCAATTTTCATTATTAAATTAAAGAGAGAAGAGGGTAGTTATATTATTTGGCATTGTATATATATATATATATATATAAAGTGAGAAAGGAACCCTCAAAAATTAAAGGAGAGCTTTAGGTCGATAGAACCAATTAGGAGGCAATAAAATGGTCTGAATCGGATAGCATTTTGACGTGTGGGTGCGCCCTTGATACACACATAAACCCCACCCACATCCACATACCACCTACCTTTGCATCTGCTCCTTAATTTCGTTGTCGTCATATATATATATATATATATATATATATGTAGTACGTACATATTCAGGTTGTCTATAAGCCTTTGACCCTACAGCGCACGCCCATCATCCAACCAAATCATAAGCATCAAGACGTCAAATGCAACACTACCAGATATTTCACAGTCTCATTTTCTTCCTGTAAATAATCAACAAGTCTTCTTTTTTCCTCGTTAAATACAGTTATCAAATACAAGTCAATATGTATTTAAAATAGTTAAATTTGTCATTCACTCCATATGATGATCACCATATAACAACCCAGTTGGGACCTTATTTTACTACTAAAACAAACACACATTCTATATCACCTTACACATCATCAATCCATTGTCTAAGAGAAAACTCAAACACTCACTCACTCCAGAAACCTAACTCATCACTACGTGAAATTCCCTACCTCAACCACCCTTATAAAATGGAAAAGAAGTGTTTAATGAATTTGTATCAATTATTATTATCATTCACGATAAAAATGTTGAATATATCTTTTTTGCAGAGTTCTCTGCTCTCGTGCACTCCCTCCGATGCTCCTATTATAACTTAAGTATGAGATTTTCCTTCTTCATAAACATATTCTTATAAAATTTCTCTCAGATCTTAGGTTTAAGTGAATGATAATCAACTTTATTATTGTGACTCACTAAAAGTAAAATTCTATTTGTATCAGTTTAACACGTTATGAAGTGATTAAAAAAAATAGCTAATGATGAATGAAATAAAAAAAAAAAAGTAATAACACTAAGCACGGTAAAGGACAATCTCATATTAGTGTTAGTAGAGTAAGTAGACTACATGAACCAAACAAACCAAATAGTATCTCGAGAAGAATATAAAACACTAGCCAAGTTGAACTATGAAAAACTCAGCCTATATGTAGAGACTTTGCATTAATAAGAGTTGGAAGAAATGAGAAGACATGCAGAGTTTGTTAAGCAAATACGCATAAACCAAAATGAAAAAAATGAGAAACCTCAAATTTTAGGACAAAATAAGATAATGATGATTAGAAGAAATTGTCTCAGGATATGTAAAATATATTGAATGAGATTTACAAGGCTAGAAGTAAGAATAGTATAACTATCGAAGAACAAGGGTTAAATAGATATATAATATGACAAGATAAATATAAATACAAGACAAATACTAATAATATAAATAAAAAATATTAGCACTACGATCCTCTCTCGACCTCAAAACGATTAAGAAAGAAAACAAAGCTTACGAGAAAGAAACTAAAATTATTTTGATTTAATTGGCTTGGGAAGGATGTTAATGATCAAATAATTATATGAAGTGAATCTAATTTGAAGCTTCTTAGATGGATCACTTAGATAAAATAAAATTGTAACTCGATGTGCTTAGTTATAAAATAGAAGACCAAATTTGTTGTGAGGTAAATAACCCCATCTAGTCACATGAAATGGTTGAAGAAGTAGAAAGAGACAATTCTCTTCGGAAAGTAAGACGTGTACCTAAAGAATTTAATATTTACTCGCTGTAGTAAATCTTATAACTGTGAATTGTTCTTGACATTATAAAAATGAGCCATTTACTATAATAAATGATATAATCACTTGTGGATGTCTTATCATCATTATAAGACTATAATGATGGTCTCTAGCTCAATTGCTGTTAAAGAATAAGTTAGATAGAAAGATATCTTTGGTAAATAATAGGTTTTTTTAAATGAAAGATAAGTTTATTAATAAGAGAAAACTATTAAAACACCACTAGTAGGTACCAAGATTATTCAGGAATGAACCAAAACGAACAAAAGCCTCATTAAAATCGTAAAAAAAAGGTATTATTGGTACAAAGACAAAGATGAGATCCTTGAATAAAGCTTCAATATTGGAATCATTAAGAAGAAGATGTTCTCTCATACATCTACTGAATGCTTTAGGTAATGAATCACCCCCATCACTTTGTTGGAGAAAATAATAGGTTAATATAATATTTTGCTTTATTATGACAACCTTCTTATAACCCTAGGTAAGTGAGCACATAAACTAGCATAACTAGTGTTCATTGTGAAATAAACATTATGGAGACACAATGTTAAGTACTGAAAAAAG